ACAGAGGCTTTTGAAAAGAAGATAAACACGTGATCAATAAATGTATGAAAAAATGCTCATAATTAATCATCAGAGAAATGAAAAATAAAAACACAATGAGATATGACCTTAATCCTGCTGGCATGGATGCAGAGAGAAAGGAATGCTCATATACTATTGGTAGACTTCAAATTAGTACAACCTATATGGAAAAGAGTATGGAGATTCCTCAAAGAACTAAAAGTATTCCTACCATTCAATCCAGCAAACTTAGTACTAGGTGTCTTTTCAGAGGAAAAGAAATCTTTCTATCAAAAAGACACTCTCACTTAAATGTTTGTTGCAGCACAATTCAAAATTGCAAAATTTTAGAATCTACCCAAGGGCCTATCAATTCATGAGTGGTTCAATAACATGTGGCACATGTATATTATGGAGTACTACTCAGCCCAAAAGAAGGATGAATTCATGCCTTTTGAACAATTTGGATGGGACTGACGACCATTCTCCTAAATATTTCAAGGTTAGAAAATCAAATGCAAATACATGGAAATGAAGCAACATGCTCCTGAATGAGCATGGGTCGAGAAAGAAACTAAAAAGAAATTTAAAAGTTACTTAAAACAAATGAAAGTTTTACCCTTTTATTTATAACCAATAGAACACTGTAAATTTAGTGCTTAAAGGGAATTTTATAATAATAAGTGACTACATAAAAAAGTAGAAATATTTCAAATAACAAATCTATGATGTACCACAAGGAATTAGAAAAGAAGAACTAACCAAACACAAAATTAATAGGAGAAATAATAAACATCAAAAGAGAACTAAATGAAATGTTTTATACTTCAAAAATCTGTATGGGACTGAAGTAGCCAGAACAACCCTAAGCAAAAAGAACAAAGCTAGGGGCATCACACTGCCTGACTTTAAAATAGATCTCAACACTATAGGAACCAAAATTGCACTGTATTGTTATAAAAAGACACACAGAACAATGGAAAAGAATAGAGAACCTAGAAATAAATCCATATATTTACAGCTAACTGGTTTCTGACAAAAGTATCAGAAACATATATTAGAAAAATTACACCCTTTATAATAAATGGTACTGGAAAAAAGGGACATTCATATGCAGAAGCATGAAACTAGGCCCCTATTAATCACCATATACAAACATGAACTCTAAATGTATTAAGAACATAAACATAACACTCAAGACTATTTTTCTAGAAGATAACATAAGGGAAACACTACAGAATATTTGTCTAGAAAAACAAAATTATGAGTAGGGCCTCAAAAGCACAGGTCTGCAAAACACATATAAACAAATGGGACTACATTAAACTAAAAAGCTTCTGCACAGCAAAGGAAGCAATTAATTGAACAAAGAGGCGACCTGTTGAATGGGTGAAAATATTTGGAAATTATTAATTCTACAAGGGACTAATATCCTGAATATTCAAGGAATTCAACTAGACAGTTGAAAAATCTAGTGATCCCATTAAAAAATGAGCAATGGACATGAATAGACATTTCTAAATATATATATATATGTATTATATATAACATATATGTATGTATGTACATATGTGTAGTATATATATATATGTGTGTGTCTGTGTATACATATGGCTGGCAGTTATATAAAACATGCTTGAAATTACCAACCACAGGGGAAATACAAATCAAATCAAGAGTGAGATATTATCTTACCCTAGTAAGACTAGTTATTATTTAAAAGGTTTTTACCTTGGAAAACCCCAGGGAATCAACCACAAATCTTTTAGAAGTGATCAAAGAATACAGTAGCATCTCAGGATACAAAATCAATACTCACAAATCAGTAGCTTTTATATATACCAATAATAGTCAGGCCAAAAAAAATAGTCAAGGACTCTATTCTCTTTACAGTTGTGCCAAAGAAGATGAAATATTTGGGAATTTACCTAACACAGGATGTGAAAGATCTTTATAAAGAGAATTGTGAAACTCTGAGAAAATAAATAGCTGAAGATGTTAACAAATGAAAAACATACCATGCTCATGGCTGGGAAGAATCAACATTGTTAAAATGTCCATATTACCCAAACCAATTTACAAATTTAATGCAATCCCTATCAAAGCACCACCATCATACTTTAAAAATCTGGAAAAAATAGTACTTTGTTTTGTATGGAACCAGAAAAAAAACCTCAAATAGCCAAGACATTACTCAGAAATAAAAACAAATCAAGAAGAATCATGTTACCTGACTTCAAACTATACTATAAATCTATAGTGGTCAAAACAGCATGGTACTGGCACAAAAATAGAGAGGTAGATGTATGAAACAGAATTGAGAACCAAGAGATGAACCCAGACACTTATCATCATTTGATCTTTCATAAGCCCATCAAAAATATAAACTGGGGGAAAGATTCCCTATTTAACAAATGGTGCTGGGAGAACTAGCTGGCAACTTGTAGAAGACTGAAACTGGACCCACCCCTTTCACCATTAACAAAAATTGACTCTCACTGGATAAAAGATCTAAACTTAAGACATGAAACTATAAAGATTATTGGAGAGAGTGCAGGAGAAACCCTTGAAGAAACTGGCCTAGGAGAATACTTTATGAGGAGGAACCCCTGGGCAACTGAAGCAACACCAAAAATACATTACTGGGATCTGAGCAAACTAAAAAGCTTCTGCACACCAAGAACACAGTAAGGAAAGCAAGCAAACAGACGTCAGAATAGGAGAGGGTATTTGCATGTTATGCTTCTGACAAAGGTTTGATAACCAGAATCTACAGAGGTTTCAAACTTATTAATAAGAAAACAACAAGTAATCCCATTTCATTGTGGGCAAAGGAATTGAACAGAAGCTTCTATGGAGAAGATAGGCACATGGCCTACAGACACATGAAAAAATGCTCATCGTCTTTAATCATCAGAGAAGTGCAAATCAAAACCACTTTGAGATCTCATCTAATTCCAGTAAGAATAGCTCACATAACAAAAATTCAAACTACAGATGGCGTGGATGTGGAGAAAAGGGGACACTGATGGTGGGAGTGCAAGCTATTACTTTCCTTTTGGAAAGAAGTATGGAAAATACTCAGGGATCTAAAAGTAGACCTGCCTTTTGATCCTACAAGTCCTCTACTAAGTATATATCCAAAAGACCAAAAATCACTTTATAACAAAGATATTTGCACCAGATTGTTCATTGCAGCTCATTTCATAATACCCAAGTCATAGAAGAAATCCAGGTGCCCATCAACCCATGAATAGATTAACAAATGTGGTATATGTACACCATGGAATATTATGCAGCCTTAAAAAAGATGGAGACTTTGCCTCTTTTACGTTTACATGGATGGAGCTGGAACATATCCTACTTAGTAAAGAAAGTATCTCAAGAACGTAAGAAGAAATATCCAATGTCCTCAGTACTATTATGAAACCAATTTACAATCACACTTTCATGTGAAGAATAGATCACAACTATGTTGCAGGATAAAAGACGGAAGAGGAGGAGGTCAGATCAAAGGAGGGTGAATGGTGGGATCACAACTATCGTGCATATTGCAAGGGTACATGTTGGATCTATTAAGTGTAGAATATAAATGTCTTAACACAATAATTAAGTAAACAAGATGAGACATATTTTAACCAGTGCAATGTAAGCATTCCTAATTCTATATGAATTCAGCACATTGTACCCCATAAATGTATTAATGATATATGATCTATGTGTTTATGACTTAATAAAAAAATAAAGAAATAAAAGATTTTTTTTAAAGATGCTGGCAAGGATTCACAGAAAAGAGAATTCACACACTGTTGTTGGAGAATGTAAATTAGTATAGACATTACAGAAGACAGAACAAAGATTTCTCAAAAAGCTAAAATTACTACTACCATAGTTGTAATACTGGCTTTTTTTTCCAAAGGAAAGGAAATTATTATGTCAAAGGGATACCTAAATATTCATATTTATTGGAGTACTATACACAATAGCAAAGATAAGGAATCAACCAAAGAGTCTATCAATGGATGAAAGTACAGATATAAATACAGATATAAAGAAAATGTGTCTATATAAATAATGGAGTACTACTCCGCCATAAGAATGAGTAAAATCCCATCACTGGAACTATTTTGGATGGAACTGGAGCTCATTATTTTAAACCAAACACAGACAAAGAAATATCTCACATTCTCACTCATATGTGAGAACTTGGAATGATGTTATTCAGGTAGAGAGTAGAATGATAGTTACCAGAAGCTAGGAAGGGTGTGAGCAGGTGGGATATAGAGAGATTGGTTAATAGGTACAAACATACAGTTGGGTCTAAGGAATAAGTTTTAATACTTGAGACTAGGGTGACTATATTTAGCAACAATATTTGTATATGTCATCTTACCTAGAAGAGTCAATTTGAAATGTTTCCTACATATAGACATGATAAATACTTGATATGATTGATCCCCTGAATTGGTCATTACACACTCTATACATCTAACAAAATATTATACATTTGTTTAAAATATACAAGTATTATGAACCTATAATTTTTTTAAAAAGGGTAACTTCCAAAAAAAGGAGAAGTTAAAAGTAGCCTTGTTAATCAAAACGCACTGTTGGATGTATAATGTCCAAAATGTTATGTTTCTCCCTGGAATCAGTAAAATACCTTTGCCTTGTGGTATCTTAATTCACAACAGTATCTCTAGACTGAATTTTATTATAAATACCTGGAAATGAAGATCAACAGGGGTTTATCTTCTCTGAAGTGTCTCCTGAATCTTAACATAATAGATCAGCAGTTTCTATAATAAATTCTCATTTAATACCAAAGTCTAATTGGGGCCTATTCAGAACTAAAGTATGTCACACCAATCACTAGAACTTTGTGGTGCAAATCTTTTACATATGTGTGAATATATAGATAGGCATATTGATAGAAATATAAGGTAGAGTTTGGGGGGTTTTGATGAACACTGTGACTAACATGTTTTATCTTATTTCAGGGGCAAAGGACCACTAAAACATACAACTGATGTGATCTATGCAGCTAAATTGATATCAGAGTCAGGATCAAGGATGGACGTGCTCGCTCGGCAGATTGCCGACCAGGTGGGTTATTTGCAAATGGACCAGGTGAAGGTCCATGCTAATTGTTCTTTGCCATTGGTAAATTAATTAGAGCCAAGTTTTCATGTCATTGTATCATTTTATTTCCTAATTTATAACTGAATTACTTTTTATGTCATAACGTTATTAGTGCACAAGTAGTGGACAGTTAATTCTAAGGAAGCTTAATTATTTCTTTGGACAAATTTTCACCTTTAAATATATTTAAATTATTTGAAATAGATTTTCAGTTTCAAATATACTCCATTTATTTTACTTAGTTGTAATAACAAAATAGACTTTTTTAATACTTAGATTTCTTTCTTTCTTTTTTATGTTAGGTCTTTAATATTTAATTAATATATGGTAATTGTGTGTATACATGGGGTGGAGGTGATATTTCTATACATGTACACAATGTGTAATGATCAAATTAGGATAATCATCATATCCATCAGCTTAAACGTTTCTCATTTTTGTTGTTTTAAAAATATTCAAAACCCTCTCATCTAGCCATTTTGAAATTATTAATTATAGTCACCCTACTATGTTAAAGAGTACTGGAAGGTAAAGTTCCTTTCTAACTTTATTTCTGTACCTATTAGCCAACATCTTATCTTTCCCTCCTTCCCCTACCTATCTCAGCCTCTGCTAACCATTATTCTACTCTCTACGTATGAGATCAACTTTTTTAACAGTCACCTATGACTGAAAATATGTGGTGTTCGTCTTTCTGTGCTTGGCTTATTTCACCCAGTCTAGTGTTCTTCAGACTCATTCCTGTTGTCACAAATGAAAGGATTTGATTCAGTTTTGATGGTTACATGATCCATTGTGTATAAAGGCCACATTTGTAATCCTTTCATCCGTTGATGAACGCTCTAATTGATTCCTGCATTGGCTGATATGAATAGTGCTGCAGTAAACGTCAGAGTACACACATATCTCCTCGACAGACTGATTTCCTTTCCTTTTGACGTATTATCTAGCCGTGGGTTTGCTGGCTCATATAGCTATACTAATATAGAACAGCTGTGCTAATTTACCTTCCAACCACCATGTAGAAGATTTCCCCTTTTTCTGTAGCCTCCCCCATGTTTATTACTTTTTTTTTTTCCTCTTTTTGATTATGGCCATTTAAACTAGGATGAGATGTTATCTCACTGTGGTTTTGATTTACATTTCCCTGATGATCAGTGATGTGATTTTTTTTATACACATATACCTGTAGACCATGTACATGTCTTGTTTTAAAAGATGTCTATTCTGATCATTTGTTATGTGTTAAGTTTTGCTGTTTTTCAAGTGCCTTGTATATCATGGATATTAATCCTTTGTCAGATTGACAATTCACAGATATTCTCTCCTTTGCTGTGCAGAAGTTTTTTGGTATTATATAATTCCATCTGTCTATTTTTGCTTTTGTTGTCTGTGCTTTGGGGTCTTGTCCTTAAAATTTTGCTGAGGCCAATAGCCTGAAGCATTTCCCCTATATTTTCTTCTAGTAGTTTTGTATCTACATTTAAATCATTTGATTTTTGGAGTTGATTTTTGCATGTGGTGGAAGATAGGGGTATTCATTCTTCTTCATAAAGATAATCAGTTTTCCTAGCACCATTCATTGCAGAAACTCTTCTTTCCCTAGTGTGTGTTCTTGAAACCTTTGCAACATTCAGTTGACTGTAAATATGTGGATTTATTTCTGGGTCCTGTATTCTGTTTCATTGGTCTATGTGTTGTTTTTATGCCAGTACCATGCTGTATCAGATACTATAGCTTTATAATAAATTTTGAAGCTAAAATTCTGATTACTCAAGTATTTTGTTGCTGTTGTTGTTACCAATTTTTGTTTTTGTTTGAGACAGAGTCTAACTATGTCACCCTTGGTAGAGTGCCATGGCTTCACAGCTCACAGCAACCTCAAACTCCTGGGCTTAAGCAATTCTCTTGCCTCAGACTCCCAAGTAGCAGGGACTATAGGAGCCCACCACAACACCTGGCTAGGTTTTATTTTTTATTTATTATTATTATTTTTTGTAATTCTTTGGCTATTTGATTTTTTTGTTGTGGTTATACATAAATTTTACCATGTTTTTGTCTATTTCTATGAAGAACATGATTGGTATTTTGATAAAGATTGTATGAATCTGTAGATTGATTTTAATAGTATGAACATTTTAATAATATTAATTCTTCCAATCCATGAACACGAGTTTTCTTTTCATTTTATTTTTATTATCATCATTATTGTATATGTATGTGTGCATGTGTATGTGTGTGTGTGTTGTCTTGAATATTTTTCATTAGTATTTTCTTAGCTTTCCTATGGAGGTCTTTCATCTCCTTGGTTAAGTTTATTCCGAGGTTTTTTTTTGTTTGTAGTTATTAAAAATAAGATTGCTTTTTTGATTTTTCAGATTGTTCACTTTTACATATAGAAAGCTATGATTTCCTGTATGTTGATTTTTTAATGAAATAAGTACAAATTTTTGTTGTTTGAAATTTTACTTTTATTATTTCTTCACATTAAGCATACCTCTAAGTACTATTACTACTTCAAGAAAATAAGCTCTACATATTTTGCTTTTAATTTTCATTGTCATATTCATATTCTAGATCCCACCATCTCATACCTGACTCATTAAGGTGGCCATTTACTTGGTCTCAAACTTTAGTGCTTACTTACATGCATAAGATCTTGTTTTACTCTTTAAGTGATTTATGATTATCATTATGCATAATTTTGCTAGAGAAAATTACATTAAATTATGACTTCGTTAAGACACTCTTCAGTAACACTTGGAAATGAGGCCTTTTCTTTTTAATTTTAAAGTTTTATGAGGCACAAATATTTTGGCTATGTGGATCATTTTTATGTTTGAATCATGATTGTAAGTCCGTATGTTGATTTCCTATCCTGTAACTTTACTGAATTAGTTTATCGGTTCTAACATATTTTAGATGGAGTCTTTAGTTTTTCTATAAGATCATGTCATCTGCAAACAGAGACAATATGACTTCCTTTATTTTAAAATAGATATACTTTATTTCCTTCTCTTTCTTAATAACTCTGGCTAGGACTTTGAGTACTGTGTTGAATACAAGTGGTAAAAGTGGTCATCCTTGTTCTGCTTTAGATCTTAAAGACTATCAGTTTTATCCTTTTTGCCCTGTAAATATTAATAGGTTTCAAAATTTTATTTTTTTATGTGTGAACAATATATTCTAGAATTCTATATAAAATGGAGAGAAAGATAGTATTTATAAAATGCAAGAAATATTCTGCTGAAGACTGTTTCTGAACAACTTAGTTTCTTTCCCTTAGATTTTTCATATATCCACTTCAGTTTTTCTATGTAGCAGCTACATTATTGCAGTTACTTTTTCCTTAACTTTAATTAAAAAATCTGTTAGTTTCATTAATAAGTGTGTCTTGAAACATTCAATTAATACTTCAGACCAGAGTATAATATTACTTCCCAGCTTTTATATTATGTTCAACTTTATAATACATATTTATTTTCCTTTGTGAAAAAAACATATTTAATTTTGACTTTGCAACTATTCTATATTATTTCTTGCTCACATACTCAGAGGGAAACTTTATTGGGCCGATTTTTTATGCTTAGTTTTATTCACTAATTTTATACTCTATTTCTTAGAACATGAAGAACTCACTCCTATTAGACACTCTATTTGTGGATATAAGACAAGAGAAAAGAATAAGAACTAATAATAGCAGATAAACTATTTTAAAACATTTCTCAAATATATATTTCTTTACTATATTGCTACTCTAAGCATTATAAAAATTTTATTACTCTTGTTTTGTTAATATTTATTATTTACAACTAAATATATCCTAATATGAGTTAGAATTTCATAGTCTGAATAAATGACTGATGCCCATGTATGCTCATGGTTTTCATTATTTTAGAATTTTACTGCGTTCACTTTTATGAGAAAGACTAAATCTTAGTGGAATAAGAGAACCAGTGGCACATTACTACTAATCATATTTTACATACTGAATGCTTCTTCCCATGTTTCTTCTCCTTATTTTGGAATACCCACTTTTCAAAGTTAAATAATTTGTGTCACTCTGATGGGTGTTTTTCTTACATTAGCATTTTTTAATTGAATCAGATCACCTTGAAGTAGGTACTTCTATAACACCACTTTATTAAATTTGCCATTGTTTTCAGCATTATTCGAATTGTCTGGGGAAAAGCAAAAATATTATCTGACCTCAATATAATTTTGACATTTTAAGAGGTGCTTAGAGAAGTAGTCACTGACTGATGAGGAATTGTGGATGACGCTCTTTGGTTTTTCCCAGTTCATATAGTAGAACAGTTTCAAACGAGTTACTTTTGTTCTCAACAAATATGGTTCTAAAGTATCAGAACTGAGAATAAAGAAACTAAGTTAGTTATTGTAGTGACCGTCTGGAGAGATTACCTAATTGTGCTTCTGATAGTGTTTGATAGATTAACATAAAATTTTAGACAGAAAGTAACATCCGACATCAATTGTGGAATATAATTGAGTAATATAAGCAAGGCGATTTTCGGTGTCTATGTATATGATGAAAAACATCTTCTGAAGTATTGGTTGTTTTCTATTTTGATCAATCTAATAGTTGAGCAATGTTTAACAATTCTTCTTCCAATACTTTTTATTCTACTTTTTAATGGAATATCAGATGGTCAAACAACAATTAATTGCCAATTAAACACAATATAGATCTAAAATAGATGTAGATAGATAGAGACAGAAAGCAAGACAGAGATAGACATAATTACATTATTAGTCCCATTTAGTTTCATTCCAAATTGCCTCAGAGTCAACGTTCATATTCAGATTAGCTGATGCTTCTAATTCTGCTTGCTTGATCTTTTCAAAAAATCTTTTTTCATCCTTCCTTCTTGCCTTGATTCCTTGAATGCATACTTATTGTACATATACTAAATACTCTAGCATTGCCATTTACAAGAGAAATG